ACTGATGTTTAGTTTCATTTGACATCGATTCGCGTTTAGAATCTCCTTTACTTTCGGTTGGGCGCCGTTGTCGAGGAACAGCCGGTCCTCCATCGAGACATCTATCTGGAGGTCCACTTTGACCACTGATGCCATTAAAATAGATAAGTATTAACTATTGTATACATTCAACTGTATATACAGACCATTCCAGAGGTATTGGAAATATCTTGGATCCATTGAAGGCAGATTTGATAGGTGTGAGAGTCCAGGGATGGCCCGCATGGAAGGCATGGAAGGAATGGAAGGCATAGAGGGCATGGAAGGCAAGTGTGCCATCCGTCTCAGATTGTTGAGATATTCCAAGACCTCTTCCAAAGTTTGTTTGGGCAGATTGTTTGGATCGCCGTTTGGATCACCGTTTGAATCATCGTTTGGTTCACTCATCACTTGAGACTTTCAGTACTGAATGCCAGACAATGAATGAGTACTAACTCTCATTTGTCGTCCCTCTTATATACTATCAAATTTATTCAAACGCTTGAAAATATTCTCAACTAATAGTAATGGGATATACCTATCATTTTGATCTTAAGATTCACATCCAATCGCATCACTTAATGTATTGACCGCTATATCAATGAACGATACGTTTGGATAGGAATTTCATTCAGTTTGACGCGAATTCCTGTTATAAATACCACTATAAAGGTATGTCTCGTAAGAGTCTATGGTTTTTATGAATTACCTTTAATTAGCATTATTTTTACTAATTTATACAATAAGTTTGAGTTCTTACTATTATAGACAGTAAATGAATGCTTTTTGGATGCTTTGGTAACCAATGTTTGGTTACAGAAACAGATAACTTATACAAGTAATATTTGATTAATTTCATGCTTTATTAAACACAACTTTAATATTTATAATAATGAATTAGAAATGAATTTTCACAAACCTAGTCATTGATTGGCGACTATTTGTGTCAACTCTTGGCCATCGAGTGAGAGATAACACAATATTTCACAAATCGATTCAATTTTATTTTCATTTTATACAAAAAAATTACTCAAAAAATTAATTTAAAAATTGCTATAATTATTCAGAATAGTCTTGGTAATTTGGAAAACTTTCACGTTTACTCACGATCAAACTTTTAACCACTTTCTGTAATTGGCTTTTATTTGGGATATTATTAACGAAAATATTAACTATTAATGACTGATTTGTGCTCTCTCTCTCTCTCTCTCTCTCTCTCTCTCTCTCTTACTGATGTTTAGTTTCATTTGACATCGATTCGCGTTTAGAATCTCCTTTACTTTCGGTTGGGCGCCGTTGTCGAGGAACAGCCGGTCCTCCATCGAGACATCTATCTGGAGGTCCACTTTGACCACTAATGCCATTAAAATAGATAAGTATTAACTATTGTATACATTCAACTGTATATACAAACCATTCCAGAGGTATTGGAAATATCTTGGATCCAGATTTGGTAGGTTTGGTAGATGTGAGAGACCAGGGATGGAAGGAAAGGGCGCCATCCGTCTCAGATTGTTGAGATATTCCAAGACTTGTTCCAAAGTTTGTTTGGACTGATTGTTTGGATCGCCGTTTGGATCGCCGTTTGGATCACCGTTTGGATCACTCATCACTTGAGAGTTTCAGTACTGAATGCCAGACAGTGAATGAGTACTAACTCTCATGTCTCGTCCCTCTTATATACCATCAAATTTATTCAAACAGTTGAAAATATTCTCAACTATTAGTGATGGGATATACCTATCATTTTGATCTTAAGATTCACATCCAATCGCATCACTTAATGTATTGACCGCTATATCAATGAACGACACGTTTGGATAGGAATTTCATTCAGTTTGATGCGAATTCGTGTTATAAATACCACTATAAAGGTATGTCTCGTAAGAGTCTATGGTTTTTATGAATTACCTTTAATTAGCATTACTTTTACTAATTTGTACAATAAGTTTGAGTATTTTAGACAGTAAATGAATGTTTTTTGAATGCTTTGGTGACCAATGTTTTGTCACAGAAACAGATAACTTTATATACAAGTAATATTTGATTAATTACATGATTCAATGGTTTATTTAACACAACTTTAATATTTGTAATAATGAATTAGAAATGAATTTTTACAAACCTATCCATTGATTTGTGTCAACTCTTGGCCATCGAGTGAGAGATAACACAACAATATTTCACAAATCGATTCAATTTTAGTTTTATTTTGTACAAAAAAAATTACTCAAAAAATTGATTTAAAAATTGCTATAATTATTCAGAATAGTCTTGGTAATTTGGAAAATTTTCACTCACGGGAAAAATTTCAATCGTGAAACACACTCACTCACGGGGTGTCTGTAAAAATGTTCACGTTCACTCAAAATCAAACTTTTAACCACTTTCTGTAATTGACTTTTATTTGGCATATTATTAACGAAAATATTAATTATTGATGACTGATTTGTGCTCTCTCTCCCCCCCCTCTCCTATTATTTTAAAACTATAAATTGAATTTAAACTGAAAAAACAAATTTTATTAAATAAAAAGTGAGATCAACAAAAATGAGCTAAAATATGTGAAAACACTTAACGAATTGATTCAAAACAATTATCAATCGGAGTCACTGTCGCTGTCGTCGTGTTTGGCGAGAATACCAATACGTTTTCCGATGAAACGGATCTTTTTGGTGACTTCTTCTTTGACTAAATTGAAAGACATGGCCAACAAAGACATACCGAAGAGCAGATAGAGGGCGCAAATGCCGAGAATGGTCTGCGCGTCTTCACGTGAAAAGACAGCACTTCCGGGCACTAAATCGCCGAAACCAATGGTAGTTAGGGTTACGAACGAGAAGTACGAGGCGTCCAAAAAGGTCCACATCTCCAGAAACTGGAAGAGGAAACCCCCGCCGCAGATATAGCCCACCACTAGTGCCACGCATAGAGTGATCGGTACGTTAGGGATGTCCCCCATCTCCGACTCGGATTCCGCGCTCTCATCGCTCAGATAGTCGTCAGTCTCGTCGCCGACACCCGACTGCCCGCCGGCCAAAGGCATGAGACCTATGCTATTCTGAAATGGAGCGACGGGTCGGTCGCCGTAGCGGTCAAATATGTCGACCAGAGTTGGGTCGCCGACGTGATTGACCGAAATCTCGTTCACTTGAAACGCATACTTATTGCAAATAATGGGAACTGACGACAAGTCTCGCTCACTGTTGGACCTGTTGTGCGACTGTCTATTAGCCATGTATTTGCTGTTCATTCGGGGCAGCGATTGATACTGAGGTACTGGTGCTGTAGTAATGGGTATGGGATGGACGGGTGCGGCGCCAGTTGTGGCCGACAAGGACTGAATGGCGATTCGGTGGACGTGTCTCTGTTTACGGCGCCGGCGTTTGCGGTATTTGCGGGGATTAATGCATAAAATACAGCAAACTTTCCAATAGAGAAACTTGAAAGAGTTGGCCATCGCGTCGCCGATGTTGGACAGGAACAGTAGCATCAGAGGTATGCCCGCAATGGCGTACATAATCGTCACCAACTTTCCGATCCTAATCAATGAATTAATGGTTTTGTTTTATCATTAGATATAGTGTTGAATGCGTTACTAATTAACAATAGATCGCTATTAATAGATAACATATGACAATAAAATAACACTAACGAAGAGCTTATACATAGAAAATCAGCAAAAATTTTCTTGGCTTTAATTCATGTCTCAATCGCTTTCTCACATTTGAACCGAGAATTTGCTTTTTATTCGCGCAAAGAATGCAATGTTATTACAATGGGATTCAAATATCAATACATTTGGTGTTTGTCACCAGAATTAATGGCAGCGTTTTGTTAAAACTGTTTGTTCAGTGAAAAAGCATACTTTAAATTACATGAATTCTTGTGTAGAATTCCTATGTTTTTAATCTGTTTTTGCTATCATATTATTAATGTTAACCACAGAGTCGTTAAGACTATAGCTATGAATAACATGTTTATTGGTATGCATAGTGAGGACAACCGGCAGTAATATTAGGGAATTGACAGTAATTTTGATGATTACTTGGTTTTTGGTGCGATATTTCCGTATCCAATGGTTGTGATAACGATTATAGAGTAAAGCAAAGCACCGAAAAAGTTCCACTGAAGAGTGTCCTCATCGCTCGTGTCATCTCTGCCTATAATTAGGTGCACAAAGAGTATTGAAATTAATGTCAATATTACGCCTATTAATAGACGTTTAGATATTTAAAGTGTAATAAATTTTGAATAATATTAATGCAAATGAATAATAGATAACAGGAATAGGTTATGAAAATACAAGATTTTGGCACCGCTTGAAGTCGTTATGGGTTTTGGCATTAAGTGTGTATTTATATATATTGAGTGTGTTTTATGTTTTACATAATGTCTTTTAAAACACAATATCTTCGTTAATCTGTATATCATTAGAGCTATAGATTGTAAGAAGCGATTAATGTTAACATATTGTATCGGATTATCATTTGTGTGCCATTAATATACTGTAAATGCATTCCTCAACACAATTGTGCAATTGTGGCACAAATGAGATTTTAATGCCATATCTTTGTTCATTTGCTTTAATCACAAGTATTCTCATAAGTGTTTTGATTAATTATAAAATGCAATACTATTTTGATTATATTTGAAATGACAAAATTAAAATAAAATACTTTAAAATGAAAAATTGTGTATTTTTTCAGTAGTTGCTTAATAAAAAAGCTCATTTTATTCGTTGTTTTATATAAATTGAAAGAAAAATTTCCAAATGGCATTAAGTGCCCAATGTATTTCCTATGGACAATGAGTAATAGACTAATACTCATTGTCCATAGGAAATACATTGAACACTTAATTATTATGATAATTTCTAATTAAAAATATGATTGTTGTTATAGAATATAATAGTTAGCATTGCAAGTGAATTGAATTAGATTTAGTACAAAATGCAAAATGAACATAATTAAATTAATTTAATTCTATAAAATATATAGTAAAACATTAGTGAATGCATACCGTCGTAACCCTTGTATTTCAATGCAATGACCAGTGATTTCTCCAACTTTTCCAGTTCTTTGGCCACGTCTTCGCACCACTCCTTCTGCTTGAGTACAGAACTGTTTTGAGTGATAGTCCATACGGTGTCGGCGAAGTGGAGCCTCTCGGCGGTTATGATCTGCCGATAGTTCAATTCATTGGGCGCTTCGATGGCCCGGAAAGTGAAGGCACCGACTATTGAATAGCCGAAGACCAGAGCGCAGAGACCTATGTGTGAGAAGAGGAATGCGCTGATTGTGCGGCAATAGTAACAACATTTGGCAAACCGGGACTCGTGTCGACTGTTGACAGTCATTCACAGCAACACTTATATCACTGCGAATTCGCATTCAAAACAATTTCTTATACAATGTATGTCTGTTTCACGCAAACACTGAATTCAATTTGAAGTTTTTTCAAAAGCTCTTTGATTTGAGTTTTTAGCGAAAATTGTTTTTCGTTTGAGAAAAAACTTTTCTTCTTTTTCTTCTCTCCTCTCCTTTCGTTAATATCTTATTCTTCATTCACTTTGAGTTTGAATACGAGTTGTGTTTTGTTTTTCTATTCAAACTTCTTATTTCAGTCACTCTTTTGTTTCGCTTTGAAGACAACACAAAACTCTTTGAGAGATTTTTTTGAAACAACTTTCAGACAATTATTGCTAAGAATAGCGATTATATAAATATAGCTCTAATGTTGTGAAACACTATTGGATTACATTTAGTTTAAACATTTTGACTCTTTTGTCTCACAAATCGGATGATAAAAAACAGCGATAAATATTAGCACAAAGATTATCACAACCAATGAATGTCATCCCCTTTTAAAACTATTTTATACAAACATTTACTGTGAGTTCCGATATTTCTAAAATGACTATGATCAGTTTAATAATTAAAAGCAATAAGTACTACTTAACCAGAACATCATTTTTGATACAAATTAATTTTTAGTGTACAATTGTAATATAACTTCTTTATTTTATTCATAATTTAAAAATTAAAAGATTTTATTGATAAAAATGTACTTGATTATATTATAACTGTAACTCTATGGTCATTTTTAGGATGTTTAGAAAGTATTGATTATTATTTCCTGTATTTTCAACGGATGTATTAATAGTTTTGTTATAATAAATAAAGTAAAGGACTTATAAATAATAACAACTTATTTACACCCTCAAAGATCATATTGTTTATTACATGATTAATATTTGCTAACATTTTATAAATTATTTATTAATTATTCATTTGGAATAAAATTACCCAGATTAAAGCATACAATGACTTAATATAGTAAATTAAATAAATTGATGTATTGATACAAACATGGTCTAGAATCTAAACTTTGGACAATGACCAGAATTTAACAAATAACTTATGATAAGAAAATAGTTAATTTTACTAAAAACAATTTGACCGTGTTTCATTTGCATCCAAGCAAATGCAGTTAAAATATTATTTACAAACAAAAATCTATAACAATTTGAAAATATCCATATTATTAATTGAGATTATTATATGTAATAAGACATCTTCCTCTCACTTGTATTCACGTAAATATCCGTTAATAATATATTAAGAGACAAATGGTATCACATTAACTATATTTTGTTATTAAGATAAAATGAATTTCATTTGAAACTGTTTTTAATTTAATCAATATATTTATGTTGTATTGAATGATAAATACAATATTCTTGTTGTAAATTCATTCATTTCTTTATACAACTCATTGATTATGTGTTATTAGAAATATTATACATTTATTGCTTGTAATAAAAACTAATAATTTTGTTCAATAAGTTTTCCCATACAATAATGCCTAAAATAAAATGCAAGTATTAATTCTGGGAATAAAGAAATTTAATTAACATTAAAAATGTCATTTTATATAATAGATTTAGGCATTATTCTAGTTGTGGTCAATACATGTGAGGCTATACGTGGTTATAATGATTGCAAAAAGAGTAGGTTTGAAGGGAGAGGAAGGATATATAAAGAGCTTCTGAAAACAAAGTTAATAAGGGTTTGCCTCTGTTTATTAACATTTTGTACAAATTGACATTCAAAGACAATTGATATCAAAATAAAAAAATATTTTTGTAAATTATGTAAAATATGTGTTTTTATATAAATTTAGAAATTAAACGAAACGATTACCAAAAACTTAATCAACTCATCGTTTGTTGAAAATCCTGACACCAAAGACATGATAATAACATTGAACCACACTTTCAATCAATATTTCACTTATTCTCTACACTTTTCCAAACAAATTGTTGAGAAAGTGTTGCCATATTTGCACACAATTGTCGTTAAATTGGATTCAAATTTTAATGAATTGTTGGTAAACACGATGACATCCAATGAATATCTGGATAGACCTCTGGAACTGATTTGGGATTTTCCTGCAAAACATAATCTTACTTTCACTCAATACAAGTCTATTCGTATTCATGAAGACATTAAAGTAAAGCCCAAATCTAAAGGACAGTACACTATAAGTGTCGAGTGGAAACCCCGAAGGAATATCTCATTTACCGCTAACATTGTTGGCCTCCGTGTGTTGGGACCGAAGGGACCGCTAATTCGTCCGCAAGAGATATCCAGCATAAGAGACGGATTCAAGTCTATGGATGGGATCAAAGTGTTGGAAAACAATGAATTTAAGTTTGTAATGCAAATCTCTGGATATATAATCGGATCATTTGATATCCAATCGGTTGTGAGTTGCCACCAAATTTTGCCACCAAATGAACCTCAAGAAGAATTACCTTATAATTTGCTAACAATTGTTAACATTTCAGTAATGATATGCTCTCTGTCTCTCATACTATTGATTATAATAGTATTGTATATCAAATACAAACGGTCCACAAATTCATACAACAAACATACCTATAGTATGCAAGAATTGATTACAAACTTAATTAATTATTAATCTATAAATAATGTAATATTTTAATGTCATTAGTTTGAACATTAAAAGTGCTAGTTTTATTGGATTAATTATTGGTTATATTTACAGTGAATAATACAACATATTTGTGTTAACAATACATTACATGAAAATTATTACAAATAATGCATTTATTGAAATAACAGAGCATTTATAACAATCTATTTTACAGATAAAACAATTATAAAAATACCATTAAATGAATATTTTCTAAAAGAAGTATTAAAATAACTTTTTGGATATTTTTGGGAAATTAAATTTAATGACTCGAAACTGATTGCATTCAACGAAATGTATTTTCACGGCCCGAACGCGTACTAAACTGATTGGCCGTCGACTGAACGCAATGGTCTGCAGTGAACGGCACACGTCCTGCGACTTGTCGGCCAATTTGATCCAATCGTTGCCGTCTTTCACTTCGACGACATAACTGTAAGCCCTCTCGTCTTTGTCCCACAAAACAAACTCAAACGAGTCAATCATCACCGGCTGATCCAACGCCACGATAATTGGCTTATTGGACGACATGAGTCTCGAATAGTATTTCATATCTTGTTGTCCAGTAGTGTTTGAGTCGTGATAAACGCGTTGTTGTATAGCGTTTCTAATCCAATACGGATTGGCTAAGAGGCCATCGATCCGCTCGACGGCCATCTGTTTTGGGTTATAATAACATCGAAACGATTTGATTGAATTGAAAGAGTCTTTAGTCGTGGAGTCCATACGGATCTGATGAGTGCCTCGAATGCGGAACTGTTGGGCGACTATCGGCTCGAAGTACAGGCTTTGCTGATTGGCTGTCGTATAGTTGGTGTAGTCGTATAGTGTTTCCCAAATAAGACCCTCCGATGAATACTGGATCTTATATGAGAACCGATCGCCTCTAATGTCCGACAATTGCAAATCGATGTGATTTACATTCAATGGAAAGCCGAGTCGGACAACGATTGGCCACTCTGTAGACGAGGGCTGATCTGCGGGCGCCACGAGATCTCCCACTTGTCCGGCCATCACCTCAAACAGGAACTGATCGATACAAAGGCTTGTATTGTCTGACGAGGTATTGATGACAAGCCCTCTGTTAGTCATATTCATCAACAACTCGTCCCAATTGAAGCGATTGGACTGATTCTCATTAGTGATCACCGCTTTGTCTTTCATTACACGCC